ATGAATTAAATCTGGATGATTTAATGTTTCATTAAATAATGCCATAATTTTTTCTCTTTTTCATTAATAAACTTAGTGATCATTGTATCTTTATCTGTTAGATCGATCGATTTGAGTATATCTGCATCATGAACTGGAATATTTTCGAACAATGAACTCGATTCTATGGAACCATATGGAGAAATCTCGTTCTGAGCCAAAGAATGATCACTTACGTTGTATTGTTTGATAGAAAAATTGTTTTCTCAAGTTCTTTTTGAAAGCAGTCAAGAATATAATTTTTGTAGCTATCAGTGATAACGGTTTTTATATGGCGCTCGATCTTCTGGTTATTTTTGATGGCGTTATATTTATCTAATTGGATTTGAGATATCTTCTTAATAGCTTCATAAATGTTTGGATGTTTTAACGAAGAAAATTCTGAATGCATACTCTCGAGGCAATCATTAGTGAATATTGCAGTTGCATTATTATATTGAGATATTAAATTGTAGTGCGGCAACCAAACTTTGTTGAAATAATCAATATAATCTTTGATCGAATCAACTTTATTTTGATTAATTATATGCATTGTAAGTACAAATTCTTCATGAGACATGAATGGAGTAATAGAATATAGCTTAAATAAAGAATTTTGTATAGTATTGAAATTTTTTGTATAAAGTGCTACAAGTTTCCTGTGCAAAGCTTGTTTGAAATGAAATAGGCATCCAATTATACGGACTTTAGGAAAATTTGTTGAAGTGCCTCTATCATTCCCTTTTCAAAATCACAATGAATTTGAATTAGCTTTGAAAATTAAATACCCTTGACAGTAAAAATATATTCAAATGCCTTCTTATAAGATTCAAATGTGCGGTTTTTCATGAATATAAATAAAAGTGGTAGATATTGATTTGTTGAAGGTTCACAAATCATAATTGTTAGCATCTGTCCTTTTTGAAAATGTTTTGGTGTAATTTTAAAAGTTCCATCGCAAAATAAATCTGTGGCTTCTTTTGCAAATTGAATTGCCTTCTCAAAACCAAAAAACATCGTCTCACAATTTGCTTGAAAATCATGGCCAATGAAAAACTGCTCGCCATTTATTAAACAAAAATTAGCAATTTCATCGTCTGTAATTTTTTCTCCAACAGAAAATTTTCTGGACTTATTATAAACTTCCCTGACCAATGAATCTTTAATTAATGGGTTTTCATCAGTACCAACAGCAAGTTCTGTCATAAATTTTTTAATCTGCTGAAAAGTGCCGTTGTCTTCAGAAAATTTTGCCATTGCCTTATTGTATATTTCTGTCAGAGTCATTGATTTATGAAGATCATTTTTTTCATTTTGTAACTTTTTAAATTGTCTGCATTCGGGTATATGTTCCTTTTGTAAATCTTCGGAAACTGAACTGTTCTCAATTTTAACTAAATAACGTGCTTGACAAGAATGATCGATGCAACGGTAGTAACGTTCAATATTATTTGAATTAATAATATTTGTATGATCATGCGAATAAAGCATATCTTTGCGAACAATTGTATCAGGATATTTTCCAGTAACTGCGGGAATATTTTTAACTGCAATATAACTAAAATATCTTCTGACAGCTTTAGATTCATTTTCGGCGTATTTAATATTAAAATATTGAAGAACTTGTTTGATTATATTCGTTTTTTCATCTCTCGATGTTGATTTTTGGTATTTATCAGATTGTTCCCTGATAAATATTTTATTTTCGTCTGTAAAGTTTGCTCTTTTTTGATTAAATATAGATGATTTTCCCATTAAAAAATGAAATGATGCAAAATTTACGAAAACCGTTCGAAAATTGAATCAAAAATGAAAAGTAATACTTAAATGAGGAATTCTTTGAGATATTGGTCTTAGATTGAATGTAGCGTCATTCTTATATAGAATATATATTCATATCATCGGAAATATGATAAAAAGCATATAATAAATGTCAAAAAAGTGAACAAATAAGCAAAGATATTTTTTAAAAAACAATGAAAAGTAATACTTAAATGAGGAATTCTTTGAGATATTGGTCTTAGATTGAATGTAGCGTCACAAATTTCACAAATATAATTTACTATACAATTTTATTCATTTTTTTAAAATGGCTGACGACAGTCTGTATCAACTAACTCAACTAGTCAAGCATAATGATTATTCTTCGGATTCATTAAATCAACTTTATCAATGCATAAGTACAATGACAGAAAGATCAATTGGATGCTTGAATTGGGATAAATTTTTCAAAAAAATCACAGTGACTGATGAAGTTCTTTTACATTTTTTAGCATCCGTTTTAAACATTGAAAAGATATCAGAATGTTTCAAGGATTCTATTTTTTATCACAATATTAATCTTGAAAAATTCAGTAATTTAACTGAAACAGAACAACAAACAATTTTAAATTCCTACAAAGCGGATAAATTTACATATTACATAATGTGCTCACAAATTGTAAAATCAAACTGGAACAATTTATCCCAAACTTTAGTTAATATTGCAAATCAATATTTGCCATTTTTAGATGAAGAAAAGCAAATATATATATTTACTGAAATAACTGGCAATTATCAAAATTTTGAAATTTCAGTTGCAAACTTGTTACTTTTTTATGAAAACAATGAAGAAAAATTAAGCAACTGTTTTAATTTAACATTGTTCCAGCAAATTTATTCCAAAAATGGAATCGAGCAAATGATATTTTTTGCTGCAAATACAATTTGTTGCAATAACACTTCTATCAATTTTTACAATCTCCTTGAAATTGAAGAAATGAATCCATTTGATTTTTTTTATTTCTCAATTCAATATAAAGAGATATTAAATTGCGATGATTTTCCAAAAGTTACAGAAGTAATCACAGGTTTAATCTCAGCTTCAAATATTAATGCTATTATGCGAATTTGCCAAAAAATTTTGGATAAAATTACATTTTATAAATGTAATTATTGCCATATTACCTCAATATGGAATTTTATCACAAATGCAGCAATAATTCTTCCTGATGAAGATTTATTAATCAAATTATTAAAATTCATAGAAAAAACAGAAAAAGCAACAGATGAATTATTCGAACCGGAGAATGATTTGGGTTTCTATGAATATTTAAATTCGATTTTCTCAGATATTACATCTGCGAGAAATAAGCAATTTCTCTTGGAATTTCTAAATACCCATGAAGATGACTTCACTTATGATCAAACATTGTGAGGTCATTTTTGATCAACAAATTAATTGAAATTCCGATCAAAAAAAATTCACAAATTGGATCAAAAAAATCGAATCTCAAGTTAAAAATAAAAAATTTCTACATTTTTATCAAATTTAGATTTTTTTTTCAAATCATGCGAATTGATTGAATAATTGCATATTTTATCCCATGCATCTAGAAGTATGTGTAATATTTTTGCTTTCATCAAGAAATTGTCGAATTTGATCTTAATTTTTTTTGAAAAATATACTTTTAGAAAAAGAAATAGTGATTGAATAGCTGCCCATGCTGTAAAAGGGTTATTTTTACAAGTAAAAAATTGTTATTTTTCGAGCAAGTCGAGGCTTTTTTACCATCTTATTTTTGAAAAATTTACGAAAAATTATATCTGAAAAAACGCTTCATTTTGATATCTTACAATGATAAAATACCAATGTTGCTGGGATATAATAGCTACACCTGGACATCTACTACATTAATGCGTATGACAGGTAAAGTTGATTTCAAAAGTATAGCCTGGAAAGATTACAATAAATCAACGATAATTCAAAAAAATTTCTTATAAGTTAACATAATAAAAATTTAATTTTTATATTGCTTGTATTATACTTAAGTATACAATATATTTAAATCTTAGAATGAAAATTCGGGACGCCCTAGCTATTCAATTTTCCCTTAGGACGCCCATAAACCTCTCAAAAATGTGATGTAAATATTACAATTTTGAGAAATTTACACTAGGACGCCTTAGGACGCCAACCCCCTTTTTTACCGGTAGTTCTTGTGATGCGAAATAATTGCAAATTAACACCTAGTTTTAACAGCATCAATCTCTTTTTGCTCTCATTTAAATGCATTCGCACACTTTAATTTTGAAATATAAGAGTTTTGGAAATTATCAAATTTATCTGCTCAAATACTATAGATCTTCATAAGTGTTAATAGAATCATTAGCCTTACATATAGTGTTTAATATAATGATGCACATTATACTGGGATTCATTCCTTATTCATCTAGTTATTATAAGAATTACGACCCCATGAAAATTTAAAATTTTGTCAAAAATAGTGAATGTACCTTTTATAATCATAGTGTTATCTTATACTACGGGATATTTTTTAGTTGTACACACAAAGAGAATTCATGTTTGGCCAACTTCATTTACAGTTTTTTTTTAATTTCATTTCGGAAAGGGTCAAAAAGAATTCTTTATAAGAGTATATAATATGATTATTATACATTTCTTGTTTTTGTAATAAACTAACTTTTGTGAAAATTGAATTAAAATGTCAAATTTTACTTCTTATTTATGGAGAAACAATAATCAGAATATAAACTAAAGTGATATTATATAAAGTCATGTATAAAATGCTATCAATTCAATTTACAGTCACGGTTTCAAAATATTTTATAGTTAAATCCATACCAAAACTATACATACATAATAATTTTAAATTTGAGCAGAATATATCATTAATAAATTGAATAAGTATCGTTTTTCATTTTGATAAAATGAATTGCTATCGAATTTTATCCTTATATTACTATGTTATTAATCGATTTCACTAGAAATTGATTAATTTCTAATAATTGCATCAATGAATTCAAGAGATTTCTGTGAAAATGCACTGTACATATATATTTATGCATAATTTATTTCCTGTAATAAAATTTTTAATTCAAATTATTTGATAACTTTGTGAATTTTGAATACTTTACTCAACGCTGTAATCAAATATTGAGAGCTTCAAGTTTTACTTTCAATAACATTTAACAATTAAGATATGATCCCCGGATGTGCTGGAAGATATAGATTCGTCAAGTTTGTTGGCCAGGGTGCATTCTCTAAGATTGCCGTAGCTGAAGATTTGAAGTTACACAAAGAAGTTGCAGTCAAAATCTTAGATAGAAGACAAATATGGGAAAATGGCTTATTGGAATACACAGAAAGAGAGTTAAGACTCATCCAAAGAATGAACCATCCAAGTTTGCCAGCTGTTCAAGACATTATTTATGACGAATCATCCATCATGATTGTCATGGAGTATCTCCCCAATGGAACAATCATAGATTCCTTGAATAACAAAATATTCATGACACTAAATGAAAGGATTGAGATTTGCTATAAGATTCTTGAAGGCATTGCATATATGCATGAAAGAGGCATTGCACATAGAGATATCAAACCAGAGAACATAGTGTTTGATCTTGATAACAATCCCAAGATTGTTGACTTTGGTTTCTCTTGTGATCATTGCGACAACAAACGCACATTCTGCGGGACACCAGTTTATATGGCTCCCGAGATTATCCTCAGGAAGAACTACCACGCAATGAAGGCTGACATTTGGTCATTTGGCGTTACTGCCCATATTATTTTAACAATGGCATTTCCTTTTAAATTTATAAATGAAGCAAAGTATTTCAAAGATATTAAAAATTGCTCATTAGAGAAGTATAACTTATGCCCTGGATTACTTGGAAAGTATATTGACATGTGCCTAGAGTATGATCCAAGTAAAAGACCAACTGCAAGTGAATTATTAGCTTTGTTCTCAAGATTCCTTGATGACAAGTCTCCAAAGGTTAGTAACACTTGCAAGAATGTAACCAATAAGATTAAAGTTCCTCAGCTCAATGTCCAAAGTAAAAGTAACAATAATCACTTCAAAACAGGAAGAGATATCTACACAGGACTTGCCATTAAAGCTAAGGCAAATTATAGGTTGAGAAGAGTAAGTTCAGTCTAATGTTTTTGTTTGTTTTTTATGTAAAAATTTTTGTATTTTTAATTATTGACGTGTAAATATCACAATCAATACAATTTTTCTTAATAATACGTATTCGATAATATAAAAAAAGCAATAGATCTTAAAATGAAAAACAGATCATAGACATCTCTCATATTTCTATTATTTGCAATCAGTTCCCTCAGTGCTATTATATAATTGTATTCAAGGATGTTTTATCATTTGATTGATTTACATTTTTTACTCGATTGCGGAAATGTTTATTCTAGCTGCAATTATACATATACTTAGAGTATTCTAATAATCTTCTTCAAATAAAATATAAAATAATAAATATTTATTCTTTTCGAAAAATTAAACAAAAAAATTTTAATTATCTTTCTTTTCTTGAATGTTAATAGCAAAGGAACCTTCTATATCACTTCTTTCTCTTTTCGATGCAAAGTATGTCATCTGCTTTCCTTTGCCTTTCAAATAAATTTCACCTCTCTCTTCGATTTCAAAGTCAAGGTTTTCTATCAGTTCTTTAGTTCCTGCAGAAATTTGAACATTTCCTGGGATGTCTGTAGACTGCAATCTAGCAGCTACATTGATTGGATCACCAATAATATCGAAGGTTGGCTTGTCAGAACCAAGAACACCACCAATCAATGGACCACCAGAATTTACACCTATTCTAATCTCTAAGCTGGCATTAAGTTTCATGTTGATTTCTTCCATTGCTTTTTGGCATTGAATGCAGCATCTTACTGCTTCTTCTGCATGCTTTGTATCTTCAGGATTATCATTAAATAAACCTGCTGCTGCCATGTAAACATCTCCAATTAGTTTGATTTTAGTAATTGTTGGATATTGTGCAACAATTTTATCAAATGTTGCGAAAACTAGACTCAAATTTGTCATAATTTCTGTTGGTGTCAACGTTGAAGCATAGTTTGAGAATTTCACAATATCAATGAAGAAGATAGTTGCACTATTGATTGTGAAAGAGATATCTGTTTCACCTCTATTTAGCCTTATTACAATATCTTTTGGTAAGATTTGATACAATAGCTTTTCTGATTTGGCTTTTGCAATTTCAGCTTCTTCTAGCTTCTTCTTTTCTTCAGTTTCATTCGTTAAAATGAATACTATAGAATTGATTTCGGAAGATTCCTCTTTATCTTTCATTCCAATCATTGTGATTGCAAATGGAATTACTTCAGCTGTTTCATTTACTAACTCAATATGATCTTGCCAGAAACTCGAACCTTGTCCACTCATCATCAAATCAATTTGTTGATTTAATCTTTGTTGATCTTTTGATGAAACGAAGTTGGCAATATGCTGGCCAAGCATCTGATCTGGAGTCATATTGAGATTTGCAGTAACGGATGAGTTAATAATTTCTACAATTGCGCTTTGGTTTGTAATGATTATACATTCACTTGCATCCATAACAATTGATTTTGATATTGACATGTTCTCTTCTTTTGAAGATTTCTTGGAGCTCTTGAAAAATTCCATAATTTCAGGTGTAGCAACAATTGCTCGTGGGAAGATTCTCTTGAAACAAATTAAAAGCAATTTGTAGTTCTCATTAACAAAATATCTGAATAGCCATGGCATTATTTCCATTATAAATGATATAACTAAACCTCCAATTAAAAGTAATCTGTTTGATCTGACACCTGCAGCATATCTTTCATCAATCATATCTCTCATTCGTGTTGTTGCTGCAATAACTCTTGGGAAGAAGTGATATTGCAATAAATGTGCAATATTTGCGGATACTTCATCATCTATTACTCCATCATATTTACCTGGGTTATTCAAAATATCTGAAACCATATTTTTGAAAATGATGATTTGATGACCAATTCCTGCACATGCATACATATCATGAATTGACTTTGGATCACGATTTAAGGAGCAAACTTCTTGGAGTTGTAATTTATCATACTGCTCATCATACCCAATAATCTTTTTTATTTCTCCATTTCCTTCTAACAGAGCTTTATCAGCAGTTATCAAATCATCAAGGTCTTTCAAAGCTTTGGCTTTTAAGCTCGCGAGAGAAATGATATCATTCTTCAAGCTTCCATTGAGTAATAATATGTGAATTGCATTATTTCCTGCCTGCGTTGAAGAGAGTACTCTCACACAAGATAAATAATACCATTCATACATATCAGTGAGTTCCTCATTTGCTTGAATTGCTCTGTAACACATTACACAAAATATGGCCGTATCACTGAACAATAATGTAAAGAATCCAATAGCAATATAGTCCATTACCTTTGATACCTTAGCTTTAGTCATTGCATTCAGTGGTTCTTCTTCAGTTTGATTCGTAATAACAATTGGTTTCTTGGCATCTTCTTTAATATTTGTTGGCAATGATAAAAGCATTTTGAGAGTTTTATTGATATGATAATTGTAAGTATTAATGATAATTAATGCTGGACCTGCCGACAAGATAATAATTGCAATTGAACCTGCAATCATCCAAGTTTTGAACGCCACTGTATATTTATCTGCTTCTTTGATATTGAAATCTAATATTGATTTCAGTGATTTTTCAGAATATTCAGAGAGTATAATGGAGTTACTGAATACTTGACACCAATCATTGTTGTCATATATGTTGGGGATTGTCTCATTTTTAAGAAGGGTGCCTGCAAAAGATGATTGGAAAAAGTTCATCATCAGAATATGATCTTTTACAGTCGCCGTAATTTCAGTAAACGGTTTGTTTTTGTCACACACAACTAGTTTGCATTCTTGTCTAAGAATATTCGTGCCAATATCATAAACATTATACTCATTGGCAAGGCTCGAAAAAGCATTAAATAAATTGGTTAAACTGTTTCTACTGAAGTTGACTGCGTATATTATTTTCTGAGGTCGATTAAATTTATCATTTATGATGTATTTTACAGTAGTGGCATTAATTGTTAAATCACCAAGAATTGCTCTATTATCATCATATCTTTGAGTACTTTTTGCCCATTGCATAATTGTTATGAAGTTTGCATAAAAAGTGAAGAATAATGAATAACCTGCGCTTCTAATATCACTATATGCGTTCTTTCTCCATATGATTCTGCTGTTGAAGTTAACAACAAATCCAATATAACATGAAAGACATGTAACAATTAAGGTTAAAGCAGACAAATAAATTAATGTAGCTTGAATTGGCTTCATACCCATGATGCTATGATAGAAAGCTAATCTGACTTTACTATCTCTAATCAATCTCTTACTTACAACTTCTTGTAATTCAAAATCAACTGAGAATGATGATCCTTCTCCTTTGTCTCTTGAATTCGAACCAGAACCGCTCTTAGAAGCATTTGTTGATATATCTTTGTTCATTGATCTTAAATTGATCCTTCTTCCTTTAGTATCTAAAATAGAGATGTGAAAACTTAAATTTTATAATCCCTGGGATGCACTTTCTTCGATTTTTTTTTAAATTTTTGGGATAAATTTTGACATCTTTTTTTTTGCTGGCGACCCCCCGTTTAGGGCATCAAAAAAACATGTTGTTTCGTTTCAAGATCGGGATATGTTGTGAACCCGACTTCTTTCATTAATGAAGTGATTTCTTAAGTTGAATAAAAACAAATTTGATTGAAATTCATACAAAATTTCTTTTTATCATTATTATTTAAGATGCTTTTTTATGTTGAATTGTTAATTTTTTTATTTCCACCTGGGATATTTTGAATTGGGCTAGCCCAATCCCACCTCTCAATTTTCTCTCAATTGGGCAATGGGGATCCCATATAAAATGTATTGTAACAAAATTTTACATGCATAATATAGTACAGTTAAACAACATTCTAAAAATATTAAATTCACATCATTTACTTGAAGATTTTATATTTTCAACAAAAATTAATACAATAATTACATTAAATTGAGGAGATTTATAATATTTATTATAAATTAAAATATTATTACTCATTAATTTGTTGAAATATTGCATTTTAGTGGTAAAAATTAAAATTTAAGTTTACATGGAGAAAAAAAATTTTTAAATTCCAAAAAAAAATTCAATTGGGATAACGATAGGGACAAAAATTTAGAATCCCCATATGCTTGGGATAAAATCACATGACTAATCTAAAATATGGTCTTTGAGGTATCTTGGGAATTTGTTGACAACACTTCTGAATGAGATATCAACATTGAAGTTTCGTCCATTTCCTATTAATTCAGCTCTAACACTTTGATAAATTGCTTTATCAAAATCTGTCATACATTCTGCTAAAAAGTCAGCATATTCATTTGCTATTCTAAGATTATTTGGATTGTTTGATATAGCGTATTTGAAGAATGAATCTAAATCATTCAATATGATACTTATCGATGAAAGATAACTAACATCTGCTGATGTTTGATCCCAGAAATTTCTCATGACAACTTTGCATTGATCATTCTTGGTCTTAAGTTTGTTGAAAGTTTCAATTGTATCTTTTGTATCTGACATCAATCTTCTTAGTTTGATTCTGTAAACTTGATAAATGAGGAACCTGTCAGCAAATGTCATCTTCCTCTTTTTGAAAAGTTTCTTGAACAAGAGATCCATTTTACGCGATTCAGATGGGAAGAATGTTACAACTTGGAGTAAAATTGAGATAGAAGACTCCATTGTTCCAATATTAATAATGTAATCAGTAAGTGAACCATCAACAAAGTATTCTCCAAGTGTGGCCAATCCAACAACGATATACATCATAGCTTTTCTTGTGCTCTTGTCAATGTTGAGCGTGTCCAAATATTCTGATGGGGTAGCAAAGTTTTCTTGTTTCTTTAGTTGGTTTGTGATCTTTGAAACTTTCTTCTTGAAATAAATTGTTGTTAATATGTAACTGATTAACAAACATCCAACAAATATGAAGATTGTATAGTTGAATGTAAACTTTGGAAAGGCATATAAAACGAAGAAATTGATATCTAAAACACATGTTGTTATGCCAATTGAAAGACAAATAGAGTTTCTCCAGACTTCGTAGAATGGAATGAACAATAGGCAATAACAAACATACATTGTGGTGCCCAAGTGAACAACACCAAGAGCAACATAAATCCAATCATCGTATATATCAGCAATTGCTGAAAATAAGCAACCTGAAGAAGTTGTTATAACCCATGTTGTGATTGGTGATGAGTCAAATAATGGAAATGTCAAATTTGTTAGAACCACAGATCTTGATTTTAACTTGAGGCTGATTACGAAGCAAGAAACGAAGAAAAGGTATGTAACAAAGCCAATTAATACTTCAATGATGAGTTGAAAGTCAAAATGCCTATATAAACTAGTAATACCGTGGCATGAAACAAAAACTGCTGGAGTAATGAAGCATGGATCAACGATATCAATTATTATACTTGAGATATACAGAAATGCTGTTGGAATCATATATTTCTTGTTGTTGTAGACTATCATTAAAATGATCCAGATACAAGAAACAAATGCAACGCCAACACATATGTACATGTTCATGTTATGGTAACCTAAGAAGTCAAGCGGGTCTTGGAATGTAAAAATCTTGATTAAAATTGTATATAACGTCGACCATTTTCCTGAAGTGTTTTTAAAAGGAGGAGCATATATCCAGAAGGTAATTGATAGTACTTGGAACAACATAAAGACAGCCACAAGGCTGAGGAACCACACAGGAAACTTCGTTTTTTGCATCATTTGGTCGAAAAGAGGGAAAATGTTGTCAAAGAAGCTCGATTTTCCTTGGGTTAGGCTTTCTGAATCTTGAACGCTGAGGCTTACTGATGAAACTGACTTAGATACAGATGCCTCGGATTGATTCATGTAACTAAAAAATTTGAATGAATTTCTTTAATGTTCAAATTTCGCTCAGAAAATTATTTCTTAATGAAAAAACATCATAATATTGTATATATCAAAATAACTTCTGGAACCCCTGACACACTTCTCATAAATGTAATAAATATAAAATTGAAATTGAAAGCCAGTAAAAATGAAGGTACATTGAATATTTTCAATGTACATAGAATTTCTTTATTTTTTAGTTGGCAATTAAGGGTTTCGTTTTGCGAAAAAAACGTACAATACGCAATAAAAAAAAAAAAAAAGGTAGTGGGGCTTCCAGGGCTGCGCCCCTCTAGCCCCCTGAAGATGTTTAGTATAACACCAGGTCCCTCGGTCCCTCGGTCCCTCGGTTAAACGAACTTCTCTGAAAAAATGAGACAACATGACATTTTGACAACAGTCCAGGAAGTCTTAACAAGATAGGATGGTTATTTTACAAAACCGACAAGACCTTAACCGAGTAGTTTTCATGTTTTGTCACTTTTCTGTCACTTTTCAGGGAAAAAACATTTTTATTGTATATAAAATGAATTTTACAAAACCACCGTTACCCTTCTTTGGAAATAAGAGTAGATGTAAAGATATTCTATTGAGAGAACTTAAGAAACTACCGAATGGTCTAACATTTGTAGATTTGTTCGGTGGAAGTTTCTATATATCTCATTTGTGCCATACTGTATTTCCTGACTCAAAGATTATATGCAATGACTTCGACAACTATATGAACCGTCTCAAACATATACCAGACACAAACAAAATATTGAAAGAGTTAAAAGAAAAGATACCTATAGGTAAGATAAGGAACGATATACCATTAGATAAGAAAAATACTGTTCAGAGAGGTTTTGAAAAAAGCAGAGTATATTTGACTGGATAGTATATCTTCTAGACTATTGTATAGTGGTTCTATAAGAGTTCATGACATTGAAACACTTATGTCAAACGTTTTATATCTTAACTATACAAAGGTTTTCAAAGAGAACATAGAAAATATACTGAGGGTATAGAGTTTGTGAGATGTCGTTGGACAGAGTTGTATGAAAAATATAAAAACAAGGAAAATGTTTTCTTTATAGTAGACCCGCCGTTCTATAACACATACGATTTTCAATACCAAGTAGACTGGACTTTGAGAGACTCTTTAGAAACTTTAGACGTTTTACATAACCATCCATGCTTTTACTTTACATCCGATAAAAGTGGTTTGGAAAGTGTCATGAGATGGTTAGAGGACATACATGACTATGATTTTAGATACGATAAGATAGAATATGAGAGAGGTCCTATAAACCGGAAAAAGTGTCATAACAAAGAAATTTTATTGGTAAGTAAATGTGGTTTGAAATAGGACTACTTGTTTTAGGTTTTTTCCATTGTGTCATTTACTTATTTGACGTGGCAGAAAGATATAGAGAATATGAAGATGAACCAATACCAGCAAATGTTCAGCATATGTACTCGTAAGAGATATTTTTATCTAATATTAAAATGGACGCACAGAACTTAGCGAATGCACAGCAACCTGGACAACCAAACCCAGAGAATATTCCAAATGAAGTTAGAATACAAACTGCAATGGCAAACTATGGTCAAATGCCAACAGATGTACAAATGCAAACTGCCATGTCAAATGACGCTGCGTTAGGCTTACCACCATGGTATGCAAATATGAGATGGAAAGAGTTTTATACAAACCCTGAAGTGGGATATAAACAACTCTATGCAGATGACGCGAACACAGGAGTTGACCCAGAGTATGTTTTCTACCAGAGGAGAAATAGAATGTATGAGCTCCAGTTAAAAAATGCTATGGAACTCAGAAGGAAACGTAAGAGACTAGGCGGACATTAGATTTTTACATATAGTAAAATGGGTTTCTTTGGAAGAATAGGAAACTTCTTTCGAAATGTTGGAAGAGGTATATGGAATGGAATAAAAACCGTAGGAAGAGGAATTTGGAACGGAGTCAAAAATATTGGTAAAAGAGTAGGTCAGTTCGTTGGTATTATACCTAAAGACCCTGAACCAGAAGAACAAGCTCCTGTTATACAACAGCCTGAACCTGCACCGCAGTCTAGTTGGCAACCAAATCCAACACCTCAACCGTATTAAAATTATATTTTTACCGTTCGATAGTAGTTGTATATGAGACTAAGTTCTAAGTAAAACGCATGGTATAATGGAACTATTCTCTTTCTTCCATCTGTTGTAAACCATACTTGAAAGTCTGAAATACTTCCACTCGGTGGTTCATATAGCTTTGTAGGTTTTTCGTAAAAGTCATTTGCCAAGCATAAAAAAGAGTTTTGTGCACCAGAAAATGAAGCATGAACGATAATAGCATCTGAGTCGAAAACATTTTCATATGTTCCATTAGGGTTTTCGACTTCATAAAAGTTCGGGTGTACTGGATATTCTGCAGGCTGATTTAACATCCTCAAAAACCTATACCATGCCAAGTTGTTATATTTTGTAGAAATATAAACGTCTTCTCCAAGGTCTTCTATTCTATTGAATTTAACAGTTGCATTTTTCCTGTCATATAAAATATCGAGATGGTACTCTCCTTCGTCAATGTTGTACTGTTTTGCATATTCGAGATAGATATCGTTTATTTTTTCTTGAAAAGCTTGAAGAGTTGTTTCTAAGTTTACAAGCAAACTAACTTGTAAAAGTTTTCCCTGTACAAATTTCTCATACGCACGTTTTTCTTTGTTATAGTATCGAACTTCAAAACCGACCGTAAATGGGAAACCATGTATGGCTTCTGAAATGAACTTCATTCTACGAAAGCCAATAGCTTTTGTGACGGATGGGTCTCTTAACCATCTTAGTGGGTAGTCAAAACGATAGCCTTCATGCTTTACGGTCTCTGTCTCAAACTTTTGACCGACATTCGTAAAAAGTTCATCTAATGGTTTAGTTGTAGCAACTCTTGAATTTTCTTTTTCTATTGAAAGCATTTTTTATCTAGAATAAAAATGTCAAATGAAACAGCGTCTATGAGAGAAATACAACACAACCGACAACTCATTGTACAAGCTCTAAATAAGAACACAACAAACTTTTCAAACTATTCTAAGATATCTGAGTCATTGAAAGAAGGAAACTTAAAACTGACGATAAACCCATTGACAGACGAGTTTCTGTTTCAAGACAGTAAGAACCATACTGTTTGTATAAATCCAACAAAAAGAACTTTAAACGAGAAACCTATAGATGAACTTCTTTTGAAAGCAGATGTTGGCAACAAAGCTGACAAAGAGTATGTTGACGATGAGTTAGCACGTGTGGCTAGTGCGTTAGTGAAGAAGGCAGATAAGGAATATGTGGATGAAAAGGATGAAAAAATTAAAGAAATGGTTGAATGGTACCATGAACGGACAACAAAGATTTTAGAAGGTAAAGCCAATACAGGGTGGGTTTCAGGATGTTTAGACCTTAAAGCTGACAAAACATATGTTAACGATGAGTTAAAGAAGAAAGCAGACTCGACATGGATAGCTGGATATGTAGATGCAACAAAAAAGTATATTTTCGCATGGACAGAAGGAACATACTCACAAAAATATCATAGACATAGCATCTCTGACGTAAATGAACTTGAAGAAAAGTTATATACAAAAGCAGACAAAACATATGTTAACGATGAGTTAAATAAAAAAGCTGACAAAACAGAGCTTCAAACGTTAAAGACAGAAATACTTCAAACACTATATCCTATAGGTTCTATTTACACGTCAATGAACTCTACCAGACCAGAAGTAGTACTTGGTCTCGGAACTTGGACTCAAATAGTCGACAGGTTTTTGTATTGTGCAAACTCTTCAAAGGAAACAGGTGGAAGTAAAACGATTTCAGGTGAAAACCTACCTGCACACAGTCACTACATAGATTTAAGTACATCTCAAGCAGGTTGGCATAAGCATAGATATTGGGATTGGTCAGGAATGATAAAAGGTAAAGGATATGATGTTAAAGACAACGTTAAGTTTGCTATAGATTGTTACTGGAGTAACACTGAGGGAGGAGGAAACCATATACATCGCGTTTCAGGGTATACGCAAACAACAGGACAAAGTAAAGACTACATGCCACCTTACATGACAGTTTACGCATGGTATAGAAATGCTTAGTCGTCATTTTCAACTTCTTTAGCATATTCGTCAGGAGTTGTCTTATATTTGTTAGGAACTGTCTTTGAAAGTATACCACCTTGAACCTTAACAAGTTTGAAACGAGGTCTGACAATAGTAGTTTTATCTTCTGCTTGCAGTCTGTACATTTTGCCATGTTTGCCTAAAACTTCATAATATTCTCTTGTATACTTTCTTCTATTTTTACGAACACGAATGCGAGTACCTGTCGAGTTCCCATTGTTGTCATAGTCAATAGTATTTTCATATGGGTTGTGTTTAGGTATTTCTATTTTTACTTTGTCACCTTTCTTAAGTTTGAAGCCTGGCATTCTTTCTTGTTTGTCTCTTTTGACTAAACTATTAAATATATAGTCTTTCTCTAAGTCGAGGTTGTTTTTCATTTCTTCGGGGAGTGGTTTCCCAAACCTTTTTGTTTACGGGTATTGTAAATATTTAAAACTTGTCTCATCTTGCCATGGAGAAATGTCTATATTTGTCGTCATATGACATTTCATCTACCTCACCACCTTGTGGTTGGTTTAAGTCTCTTAAGATTTTTATACAACTGTCAATGACACACCAGGCAGAATGGTTTTGGTCGACAATGAAATATTGGTTTACATTTTTTGAACGCAGATAGTTTTTAATATCGTCTGATTTGAAAGAAACTTTCACAGTCAGACGATAGTTTTTGTTGGATGGTATTTTGTCAACGAAGGATTGTCAAAGCAGTTTTCACATCTAAAATATTTTTGGACCATAATGGTATGGCTTCACAGTATCTTGTGTTTTGACCGACAATATAAACCAGTATGGTGGTCCATCTTCTCTATACCTCGGAATGTTTTCCAAGATATCCATAAACCAAGCATTGGTGTTGAACTAAAGATTTTTACCATGAGTGCTTCTTTGTCGCTTAGAAACATACGGGTCCTTGTTTGGATTCGTCATTTTTATCCTATAAGAAATGGGTTTATTTGGCGCATTAGCAGGAGTCGCATCTAGATTTTTTGCCAGCAGTGGGAACACTAGCCAGAGGTGCATTTGGAATTGGAAGGAAGATTTGAGTACATTAGGTATACTGAAAGAGAAAGCACAGCCTATTATACAAACCGTACAGAAAGGTTGGGATGTAGCACCGAGATGCAGAAATCTTATTCCAAATCCTGAAACAAGAGGAAAAGTTCAAGGATGGATGGACAATGTAGGAAGACAAGCAGGAATACTATAACAAAGCAAATGACTACTAAACCAAGCAGGGCACTATATGGACAAGGTGAAAGATTCTTTAACAGAGGATATAACCATGCACAACAGTGGTAAACAACAACCAACCTCAACCGTCAAACGTGGGGAATGTAAATTTTTTACTGAGATGAATGAACAATACAGCTTTAAGACAAATGGCTCAAGATGGCTTTGTCGGCTTCCAGCAGTTACACAACCACGTGTTTGTCAAGTCCTCCCTATACCTCAGGAAGTTTTAGACCGACTTAAAAAACAACAACAACCAGTTGAAAACAAACCAAACTAAAATTTTTTACTGAGATGAAATGACCGAAGAAGTTGAAACGGTAGATTTGACACCACAAACAAAAAGTTCAGAACCATTGTCAAAACCTGTCAAAGAACTTACAGATGAAGAGAAAAATTCAATAATAGAAAGTGCCAGGTCTGGAAATACAAACCCTAACTACAAAGTCACTTTTCATAAAAATGGAACGGCAAGTATCTCAAAAAAGAAACAGACTCTCACAAATAAAATATTGAAGTCTGAAGGAGTTTATGAGACAACAGATGGAAAAGTTTACTTCACTGACCAACAGTTCATTATAGAACATCTCATTGACTTAGAGTCGAAATATTCTAAACTTTACAACAAACACAAAAAGTTGAAAGGAAAACAGAAACAGATGGCATATGATATTTATGAAGATGTTGACGACACAACCATACCTGCAAGTGAGGTAAAGCCAGATGAACCGAAAAGTGACGAAAAACAGATAGAAGAAGAAAAACCAAAAACTGAAGATAAACCAAAACCAAAGTTTAGTCTCCAGACTAAACCAAGCCAACCTTCATTAGCTGGTATGGGTTGGCGTCAAAGACTTTTGGCAGCAGGTGGTTACGTAAAGTAAAAAAAACATTTTTTTATTTTTATTTGAACTGTACGATGAGTCTGCCGGAAAAGACCGTTGGGAAGACATAGATGAAGAAGTCTTAACAAAAACATTGACGATGAAGTTCATGAGAAATTAGATGAAGAAGTCTTAACAAAAATAGACAAGAAAGTTCATGAGAAATTAGATGAAGAAAGTTCATGAGAAATTAGATGAAGAAAGTTCATGAGAAATTAGATGAAGAAGTCTTTACAAAACATTGACGATGAAAGTTCATGAGAAATTAGATGAGAAATATGAAATGGCATACCATTTAAAATAAAACATTTTTTCAAAAAAAAACATTTTTTTATTTTATTTGAAATGTACGCTGAGTTTGTTGGAGAAGACCGTTGGGAAACTTGTTTGTTAGATGAGAAATATGAAATTCACTGTTGTGAGTCATTTGAAGTCAGAAACAAAGAGACAAAAAGAGTTTTAAGCGGATGGGAGGGAAATAAAGGATATGCTATTATGAAGATGAGTGGAAAACACTATCCTAAACATGTTGTCATTGCAACTCATTTTATACCGAACCCTAACAATTTACCTTTTGTAGACCATATAAACCATATAAGAAACGACAATAGACTTGAGAACTTGCGTTGGGTTACTCGTTCTGAAAACAATAAGAACAAAGGCAAATTTGGAGATATTGTATTCGATTTCATCGACGAACTAGAAGATGAAACAATTGAAATTACAGACTATGGTAAGCATACGTTTGAGTTTTACTACTACAGCGAAGAACAGGACTCTTTCTACTTTTATACCGGCGTAAACTATAGAAAATTACAAGTATGTTTTACTAAGGAAGACTATGCTTATGTAAACGCTAGAGATACAGATGGAAAAAACGTTAGACTATATCTTAACAAATTCAAGAAGCTATATGGCATACCATTTTAAAACAAAACATTTTTTTATTTTTATAAAAATGCCCCCGCATAGAATGGATAGAAGGTCTGCTAGAATAAAAGCAGAGTTAGAAAGATATGGTTGGAAAGTTTCAAAGAAGTTTAAATATAGGAAGGGAAGACCCATAAAAGTCTATGACAAACTGGCTGGTCTGACCTACGAAATGGACTTGGAAACAGCACGCGCAAATTATCCAAACAGACTAGAGAGGTTAGAAGAAGAGCGTCTTATGAACATGCCTTTCGATGTTACTGAGCCACAGGTTGAAGGACACGACGGCTTTGCCAGATTTTACTGGAAACATGACGAACAATTGCATCCTTTGAGGAGGAAAAAAGGAAAAGGTGAAGATGGTCATGCTCCCATGGAAAGAACAAGATATGCATATGAAAAGTATCGCGAAGTTCGAAGTCAAATTACATCTGGTAGAACCTTTACAGTAAACTTTGAAGAAGGAAAGAACAAAGAAGGCTTCATGGGTGTACTTGCTGCAATTCAAGACGGAAATAAGAAAGGATACAATCTCAGACTAACCGTAACAGATTTAGATGGTCATATATACTACTCACATGGCAATGTCACAACAGCCGCACAACTTCTTGACGCTTTCAAGACTACAAAGAGAGAACAAATGTTTGACTCCGACTCAGATATTTTGAATGCAATTGAAGGAATTGCAAGCGTGAAGTTTGAATGGTTACAACCCAACCCTCAAGCAGTCAGACAACATGCTGGGTATTTCCCGTTCATAAACAAGTCTGACATTGACTTAACCAGGTATGGAATTTACAATTCAATTGAAAAAATTGTCAATGAACCTTGTATTCTTACATGTCTCAGGAACTCTGCTCTTGTTACAGATGAGAAGATGAAGTATCTTGAGTCATGTGTGAAAACAAGGTACATTCTTAGAGGTCAATTGACAAAGATTGCACCGTTGGCAAATGTGAATATCCGAGTCAACATTCCGACTGAGAAAGGTTCTTCGCACGATGACTATGTTATTGACAAAGACTTACCATGGTTGAAGATTGTACTTGTCCACAACCACTTCATGTTGAACGAAAGTCTTACAAACCCATTGTTCGGAAAAGGTAAGTGCAACATTGTCAGAGCTGTTAACATTCTTTTCGAGAAAGGCTTGTTGGAACCAATTCCAGATGACAAGCTGACAGAAACTTTTGTACCAAAAGATGAAACAAACTTTTCATTGTTAGTGAGACCAAAAGTTGTTCCAGACAAAGTTCTAGCACAAAAGAAGTACACAGCTCCAAAAGGAGTTGGATTGTTCGGATACCAACCTGAACCAGAAGAACTTCCAATGAGGTTGCAAGAACTTCAAGATGCTATAAACAAACTTCCATTGAGGCATCCAATCGACGTCAAATTGTATTGGAGAGCATCAGAGTTAGCTCAGAAGGTTTTATATGAAACAGGCTGCTTTGACGATGTTTATGAGATAACAGGCGAGGTTTCTCAAAAGATAAGAGACTCACTTGAATTTCCACGAACCGGGCCGATTGGATGCGACAAGTTCGACTCATATGAAAAAATATACTATGTCGACCTTAACGCTGCGTACATGAGGTTCGTCCAATATATTCCGACTGGAATTCCAAACGAAAACGGCGAGTTCCCGGGAAAGAACTATACAGTTGGAAAGGTCATACAACAACTCTATGATATTAGGAAAGCTTCAAACCCCAAACTTGCAATGACACTCAAATTGCTTATGAACTCGACATGGGGGTATTCCATTAAGAAACCTCAAAAGATGAAGAGTAAACACTATGAGAAGGTCGACAACTTTGTTGAAAGGTTCTCCCCTTTTGTTTTGAAATACGAGTTCACCGAAGGTCAATGTGGCTTAGTAACCACAGTAAAACCTATTGTCGAACATTGGTCTTATCCTCAGTTCGCAAAGGCAGTCCTCGACAACTACAACAAATTTTTCTCGGAAGTTAAATCGAAAGTGAAGGTATACTATGAGAACATCGATGCACTCATGACGAACGAAGAAGGGTACAACAAACTCATTGAAATGGGTTTAGTCGGTGAGAAGATGGGCTGTTTTAAGCTAGACAAGGTATTTTCCGAAGTTCATGTAATATCGAAAAGGAAGTACTGGGGTGTTAAAGAAGATGGTGAAATAGTTAAACATTGCATGAAGTAAAAAACATTGCATACCATTTTAAAACATTTTTAAAACAGTATATTTTTACATATATAAAATGCTTCAGGTTGAAAAACAAAGAACAAAAGTAGCAGATACAAAACCGTTAGACTATATCTTTTTAGGTGAAGTGGTGAGATCTCACCTCTTTTTTCACCTGTTTTTTCACCCTCTTGAATTTTCATGAATTTCCTTAAGATAGAAAAAAAGTGAGTTAAAATGAGATGTTTACTGAACTGGTTGGATGCCGCCTTCTGAGGTTATGTAGAACGGCTGACCCGAGAAGTGGAATAGTGCTCTGAGAATTTGTATAATTCGTGGAATTGGACTCTCTCTGTTTGGAAGTTGTATCCATGGGCGCTTTGCAAAGAACTTGAGAAGAGCTTCTTTCTTCATCTCCTTTATGTCGTCTACAGGAGTGTTTTCTGGTATTTGAATTGGAATTCCGGTTTCAATTTCGATTTTCAGCGCACCTCTTCCAGACAACCAGACGCCGAGGGACTTGTTGGCTTTGTCCTTGCCCAAGTACTGCTTAACAACTTCATTTATCTCTATAAGGTAAATTGCCTCATCTAATGGCTCGATGCTGTCCATTGTTCTGTTTCAGAACTAGTCTTGTTCTGTTTCAGAACTAGTCTTGTACTTTTTCAGAACTAGTCTTGTTCTGTTTCAGAACTAGTCTTGTTCTGTTTCAGAACTAGTCTTGTACTTTTTCAGAACTAGTCTTGTACTTTTTCAGAACAAATTTCCCGTAAAAGCTCTCAATTTGTGAGAAAAATTTTCTGTTTCAGAACAATATTTGTACTGTTTCAGAACAAGTCTTGTACTGTTTCAGAACAAGTCTTGTACTGTTTCAAGACAATATTTGTACTGTTTCAAGACAATATTTGTACTGTTTCAAGACAATGTCCGACGGTTAAGCCACAAACGAATGTCCGACGGTTAAGCCACAAACGAATGTCCGACGGTTAAGCCACAAATATTTTTTATTTTTATTGTAAGAACAGTATGACAGTCGAAGCAAAAACGTTCACGAACAAATCTAATGGCGAAACATTCACAAAAGGCACCTATAACGGTATTGAAGTCTTACGTAGAGACAAGGATGGTTATATAAATGCAACAAAGATATGTCAGCAGTTTAGGAAAGACTTTAGAAGGTTGTTGGAAAATAAGTCCTGGGAAGAGTATTTTAAGGCATTTTGTGAAGAATATACCAACCCGCGGAATTCCGCGGGTTGCTTTTTATACAATGTTCATGCAGGAATTCCCGATGAAATCAAACAGGTTAGAGGAACGTATGTAGACCCAAGACTTGTAAACTATATAGCAATGTGGGCTTCTCCAAAATATTGCATAGCAGTTGGAAAAATTTTGGACTCCATAGACAAGAAAGTTCATGAGAAATTAGATGAAGAAGAACTTGAAGATACAGTAGAGAATGCTAAACCTTTGTTCGAAGAAGAAGTTAGAAAAATGCATGAAAAACAAATAGAACATGAACGTGAGATATGTTCTGGTTATAGAGACTCTCCATACGAACTAGACCAATGGGAACAAGAAGATTTAAAGAGAGAATTTAGAGAATATGAACTCGCTAAAGTTTCATTAGAAGCTGCAGAAGAGAGGTTAAAAGGTTGGGGTCCTTTTGTACAAAAATATTGTGAGTAAATGAACCATTTTATTTTTTATTGAATTCGGCAAAAATATATTTTAGATCTCACCAGGTCACTCGGTCACTCGGTCACTCGGTCATTTTAACTTCTCTGAAAAAGTGTGACAACATGACATTTTGACAACAACACAGGAGATAGATTTCTTCGTATATGTTTTGTATAAAAAAAGCACCTGCCGGAATTCCGCGGGGTGGTATATTCTTCACGAAATGCTTGTTTTGTTGAGACTTCTTCGTAAATGTTTTGTATAAAAAGCAACCCGCGGAATTCCGCGGGGTGGTATATTCTTCACGAAATGCTTGTTTTGTTGAGACTTCTTCATCTAATTTCTCATGAACTTTCTTGTCTATGTTTTGTCATGACTTCTTCATCGTATTCTTTCACCCGTTGAATTTTGTATAAAAAAGCACCCGCCGGAATTCCGGCAGGTGGTATATTCTTCACGAAATGCTTGTTTTGTCAAGACTTTCTTCGTAAATGTTTTGTATAAAAAGCAACCCGCGGAATTCCGGCGGTTGGTATATTCTTCACAAAATGCTTGTTTTGTTGAGACTTCATCGTCAATGTTTTGTATAAAAAGCAACCCGCGGAATTCCGGCGGGTGGTATATTCTTCACGAAATGCTTGTTTTGTTGAGACTTCATCGTATATGTTTTGTATAAAAAGCAACCCGCGGAATTCCGCGGGTTGGTATATTCTTCACGAAATGCTTGTTTTGAGGTCGAGCCACTTTTGGCTCCACCGTAGAAAACACACAAAACTCATTTTTGTCTGATTTACGCTCATTGACGATGAAAGTCTCAACAAAACATATACGAAGAAATCTATCTCCTGTGTTGTTGTCAAAATGTCATGTTGTCACCATTTTCAAAAAGATGTTAGTTGACCGAGTGACCGAGGGACCGAGGGACCTGGTTAGATCTAAAATATATTTTTGCTGAGTAAAATGACCAAATTTCATGAATTTCCTCATATGTTTGCGACCCTCGGAAAACCGAGGAACGAGATTCCGTACGAAAATCGTAAAAAAACTCTATGAAAATCGTGAAAAAATGCTACCCTCGAAAAACCGAGGATAGAGATTCCGTACGAAAATCGTGAAAAAATTGCGACCCCGGTTTTTTTCGGGGTCGCCTAAAACTCATGAAAATCGTGAAAAAATGCGAGTACGTTAAAAACCGTAGTCGCCAAAACTCTATGAAAACAGTGAAAAAACTCTATGAAAATCGTGAAATTTCTCTAGACCGAGAATTCTCGGCCTTGCCTAAAACTCATGAAAATCGTAAAAAAACTCTATGAAATCATATCTTTTATACAAGATAGAAAAAATAAAAAAACAGCGTTAGTTTTATTTTTTTATTTTTTTATTTTGTATGTAAGAACAGGAAATGACAAGCACTGAGTTTGAAACAGTTAAAAAGATAGACAATGACACCAAAGTGGTTAGAATAGGTGATTTAAACGTAAGATACTCAAAGAAATACAAAAAATATTCTTTGTCAGACATTTTAACACTATCTGAAGGAAAGAAAGCACACGACTGGGTTAAAAATGCTTCAACTCAGAAAATTTTGACAAGAAATCCTGAGCTTATGATATCGGTAAGATTCTATGGAACAAGAACATATCTTATAGACAAAAGTCTTATACCAGTAGTTTTGTTCTGGATTGACCCAGTTGTTGGATATAATTTCATAACATATGGTTCATTCGATACAGAACGTTGCAGTGAGGGCTTACTTTACATCGTTCAGAAACCGAAGGACTTCAATACAAAGAGATATAAGATAGGAAGAACATTTAATATAACTCAAAGATATGATAGTATAGTCAATAGAGTTAAGGTTGCGTTCGTTAACGATATGAGAGCTGCTGAAACAGAACTACTTGAAAAGTTTGAGAAAATGTATGGTGCTCCCACGAGAGGTAAAGAAACGTTTGAAGTAGATGAGATCGACAAAGCTATAAAAGTATTTGACGAAGTTGCTGAAAAATACATGTAAAGCGTTTATTTTTGGTCTTTTGTGAAAGCCAGAAAATAGCGTTAGTTTTTATAAAATATTTTTTTTTATTTTGTATGTAAAGACAGAAATGTCAACAACAGAGAACACAACAACTGCTATCGTTCATGAAGCCATAAGTGAAGAATACGAGTACATACAATATAACAAACAGTTACGTCTCATTCGTTCGGTCAAAGACGATATGTACCAAATGCAAAGTATTTTGACAGCTCTTCATTCTACAAAGCCAGCACATCATTGGTTTGAAAACCAGCAGGCAAAAGAACTTTTAGAAGAATTTCCTCATATGTTTGCGACCCGAGGAAAACCGCGGGTCGAGATTCCGTACGAAAATCGTAAAAATTTGCCAAATGGTTTGAGAGGTTGGTATGTACATAGACTTCTTGTAAATGCTGTAGCAATGTGGGCTTCACCTCGTTACGCTTGTTATATTTTCATGATGTTAGATGAAATTCATAGACAAGAACGTGAAGAGCTAGAGAACAAGCTTGAAGCAAAAGACAAAAACATACAGAAAAGAATACACGTTCGGTACCAAAAGGAAAGGAAAAGAAACTATAAGTATATGATTTACACTGAAGAGATGGAAAATGAAGAAGACAGAGATATTTATGTTGCATTTAGTCAGAAGAAAAACAAAAAGCTTTTAGCTTAGCTAAGATTTACAAATCTGACAGAAATTGGTTCTATCGCGAAAAACTTACCGATTTCAATGACACCGAATGAAGATGTTAAACAGATAGTTCAAGATACGTACCTCAAACACACTATGATATGAAAGGTTTTAACAATACTACATTCAAAGAAGATTTGCCGCTACTGAAGGAAAAGATAACAGAGTATTTTGACAACTTCAAAGAGGAAGAGTAAATGAACCATATATTTTTCAAGCTTGACTTTTTACAATTTGAACTTTGTTTGCGTAGATGTGAATTCTGAAAGAAGTATGAGGGTCTTGTATGACTTTGACTTCTCCCATAGTTCATGTCTGTCAAACTTACCTGCCATGGACTCTTTCATAAGTTCCATGAAATCGTCTTCGGACAATCCGGGGAAAAGTACAATGTCAGTAAGTATTCTCTTTACATCCTTACTTAAACTCTTGGCTGTCTGTACAAAATGACAACTGAGATGTTAAAGTGTCTGAGCTTCTTAAGAATTCGACACATGTCTTGTTCTCTGTTCTTTAACAAAGGATGAGAAGCAAAGTCATCTAAGATAAGAAGACATCTGTGAGGGTAAGTCTTCCAATCGTAAGATTGCAATTTCTTCGAAAGGTACTCAATCTCTTTCTGTTTGTTTCTGAAGTTTCTTCTCTAATATTCTCTGCATTTCCTCATTTGGGTCTTTAAACTTAGAATTGACATACTCATTTATAGCATTGTACTTCAAAACTCTTCTTTGGTACTTCTTTATCCAATCTAACAACTCAGAGTCTTTTATACATACTAACTTAGACTTTTTTATAATATCTTTGAACGAATTGTCGGTTGGTCAAATTGACCAGAAGTACTACAAATGACTACTAACTCATAGAATGGTTCTTCTCATCTAGTTCTTGTTGTTGTGCAGCCATTTTAAGATAAGTGAAAGTCTTACCCGACCCAGGTGGTGCAATTAGACCTGTTATACCATTCTGAGCAAATAGGAACTTGTCATGTATGGGTTTTATCTGAGCATTTTCCAACTTCCTCTTGTTCTTATTTAAAACATTCTCAAATTTTTTGTCAATGTCAGCAAACTTTTTTTCTAACATATTTTTAGAAAAATTAAAATTTTTATCTTTTAGGAAATGTCTAGCGATTTCGCTATCTATATTCGAGACAAGCTTTTCGACAGCAAAACATCTGTCGACCATAAAATCTTACATAGTGTAAACAAGAAAGGTGAATTTGTTCTAAAGTTCTGTTTCTGGGAATATGACAAGAACCATAAAACCTTAAGCAGAGAAGTCTTAAAATTTGTCAATGACAGACTTGTTGACAGAGATGACGCCTCTTGGAGAGATGAAGTCCAACAAAACTTCTTAGAATGCAAAGAAGACACATGCGCTGTTCTTGAAAATGAAATAGAAGACAGAATAGAAGAGCTATTAAAGGACAAAGAACTTTTACAAAAATATGGTTCTGAGAAGTTTGACATAACTCCACCAGAGAAGAAGAAGAGAGAAAAGAAGGAAGGGAGAGTAGAAGAAGAGAAGAAAGAACCAGAGCCAGAGAAGGGGAGATATGACATGTAAAAATAAAATTTTATTTTTAGAACATTTCTGGGTCAATGTCAATGTTCTCTTCCTCTTTAGGAGCAAACACCGGCTTAGACTCTAAAATCTTTTTACCCAATTTACCTTGAACTTCAACTATCTTAGACTCATAATATTCATAGTCGTCTGCTTTCTTTGGTTCATAAGGTATAACAAGTTTGTATGCTTTGCCTTCTTTAAGGTTTGAGAACCTTCTGTCAAAACTTTCTTTGACTGTTAACAAACCTTCTATGTCTAAGTCTTCAAATTTCGCACCATTTTTAGTCACAATAGCAAACTTAACTGGTTCGATGTTCCAAACTTTGCTGAATGAAGACTTTTCAAAATGGTAGAAGTAAACATTCAAATATGTGAATGGTTCTAGTTCTTCTTTAAGTCCTGACATGTACTTGTTTACTGAGATGAATTTCGTCATCTTTTCTATCGGATAAAAAAAATATTTTTTTTAAAATTTACTCAGAAAAATTTTTCTTTGTATATACACCATTCTGAACATCTAAAAGATTTTTGACATTTGCCAAGAATGTTCGTTTAGACGCTGTCATATAACCATACTCTTGACAATACTGTTTATACGAATCGTACAATGACCTTTCATCTAAACACTCAAAGTTAGTCTCATCTATAAACAGTTCATATACACTCTTGTTTGCTTCTAACAATGTTTGTCTCTCTTCGGTATGTGGAATTTGTCTTGGATTGAACTTTGAAATATCTAATGTCATGAAATATGAGAACAAGTGGTTGTAAAAGTTAGGTGTTAAAGTTTCTGCTAAGTCGTCAAAATATTCTGTATCTTGCATATGAGCTTCTGACGTTCTGACAACTACATATCTTCTGTCAGAACTTTCTAACTTCATCGGAACGGCGTTGTTTGAAACCATGATGAAATTTGCAACATTTTCACAAACTCTTTGGTCTCTATACTTTCTTTCAACAACTCCAACTTTGTCTGTTATAAGACTCTTCAAAGCATCCGAGTTCAAAACTTTTGTTGTATCTATACTTTGAAGTTCGTTACATACTATAAGTTTCATATTCTCTATTGAAGAGTTAAATTTACCGCAGATGTTTTCTAAGTTTGTCATATTAGGGTTCGAATAGCCCTCTAACAGTTTGCACAAAATATCTGTAAAGAAAGTGTTCTTACCAGTTCCTTGTTTTCCAATTACAATGAGAGCAGTTTCATTTTTAGCACTTGGATGTTGTAAGATGTTTGCAAACCAACATAAGATATACTCATAGACTCTTTCGTTTCCATTGCATATAATTTCTTTGACATGGTCTAACCAAGCTTCTATAACATCTTCCTTCCATTCTACTTGTTCGTATTTATATCCAGTGAAGATAGAATAGAAGTTTGGAGAAGGTGTATAGAACTTTATACCACGAACTGAAAAATCTTCTAACTTTGACAATAAGATATCCCAAGCATCTAACATCTTCATACCAACTTGTACAACTTTTATTTTCTTAAGTTTCTGTTTACATTCTTGTTCTGAAACTATTGTCGCTCTTGGTTTGTTAAAGACAACATCCCATTCTTTCATGACATAACATTCTGGGGCAGAGTCGACATAAATGACTAAACGTTTCAAATTCTCGACTGCTTTGTTATAGTCTCGAAATGGACACATATTTCTGAACGCTTGGAAGTCATAAAAATCTGAAACGTCTATTCTGTACATTTTTTTTATAAAAATAAAAAAAAATATTTTTTTTATTCTTGAGCTATTTGTTGTTGCATTTGTTCCATTTGTTGCATTTGTTGTTCTTGAGCTATTTGTTGTTGAAGTTGTTCTTGTAGTACAATACTTTCACCAGTTGCATCTTCCAATTCGAAACTTTCTGCCGTCATTGACAAATACATAGGACATAAAAGTTTTACAGGAACAAAGTTTTGCGTCAACTAAGGTTAAGTTTATGTTTGCTAAAGTGTTTGAGTTTACTAAAGCTGAAAACTCTGCATTCGAATGAACAATAGGCAAACCAGCAGAGAAAGTGTTGTTTATACGCATGAGTATCTTTTGGTCATAGTAGTTTCTGTCGACATTCGAATAGCACTTTGAACCTAAGTTTGAAACAATATATAAAATAGGTGTACTTAAAGTCAATGGAACAGACATTCCTTGTATGACACCTTTTCCTGTTATAGGAAACTGTTGGTAGTAAAAACCAGATATAAGTTTTGTATTATAGCTCATATCGTTTATACTAAACTCAGTCGGACATCCAAACATAATGAAACCTGCTCTAGTTGCAGCACATTTACATCCGTCCTTAAAGTATTAAATAAGTCAACAAAACCTGTTGGTGGTATATCTGAGTAAGTATCTTCAAAGAAGTATTTTTTACCATTCACAACAATAAAATCTTCTGGTGTCAAAAGAGCAAAACAGGCTTTAGTCGTCATCGTGTTTAAGGTCAGTTTACAATATCGTCCTTGAGGACTTTGTAAGTTTGTTGTTATAGAATTATATGACTCAGGGTTTTTAGTCGTAATAGTATAAACCACTATGTCTTCTGCCATTTACATATATTTAAAAGTTTTTCTGAAAGTGGAGAGAAGAACTTCATCTAAACTTTCACATGGCGTTTCTTGAAGTTCTCTGTCTAAGAAGTTTCAAATATTTTGTAAAGACATAGAACTTTCCTTTGTCTACACGAACAAACAAAACAGGGTCTTTCATATCGTTCAAAAGTGTGTAAAGTCCTTTACATGAAATAAAGTCTATATTGTTTTTCTTCAAACATCTTTCAAGAAGTTTTGAATTTTTACTTAGCAAGTAAATTTTAATGAAATGTTGTGGTCGTCAAATATTTTTATGACGTCTGGGAAACTATATTTTAAGTTCAACGTTTCACCACCTTTCATAACGTATATCTTGTCAATGACATTGTATGAAACACCACAGCAAGCAATGTCGGGTTCTATTTCTTGATGTTTATATCGTCTGCCTCTGTCAAAAGTTTCAATAGTTCTTTCAAATTTCATGAGGTGCGATGACATATGAGTTCACTTTTACAGGGTTGTGCTCAACCAAGTTTAACATTATACCCAAAGCCTGACAAATCTTCTCCTGAGTTTTAAGTTTGTCTTTAAGTTGCTTGTAGTCATTTCGAATATCTGCAACAGAACTTAAGTCTCTGCTAACTTCAGGGTATGTTGGTTGTTCTTTTACAGGAACTATTGTTATACCATCTTCGTCTTCGTATGGTTTCCCCACTTCAACATCTCTTTCTTTGACATTGACAACAACACTTTGACTGTTTGTTTGAGTTGGTGAATTTAACTTCACATCTGCCATCGCCATTAAACCTTTTGAAACACTTACGCTTCTATCTTTCCGGAAATGACATTTTACTTAGAATAAAAAGATGGACGTATTTGAGTATCTCTTCGAATTGAAGCAAAACAAAGTTTACACACACAAACAATACAAGTTCATTGACAGAATAGTTCTTTATACAACAATGGAAAATGTTATAGAATAGCAGTCTTTGCTGAACCAAAATATTTTCATAAAGCAAAGAAAGTTGGTATAACTGAAATGGTGAAAGTTCTTGACGTTGACAAAAATATAACAACAAAACTGACCGATATTTCTAAAGGAAGTTTTTAATACAATATTATATCAAAACTGCGTACTGTCAATATTTGACGGAGAAAGTCAGTTCAAGAACAACTTACTGACCTGCTGCCAAAATCTGCTCGATGGAAGCTGTCGTTATGCCAATCTGAGGAGCCCCAGCAGGTTTCATCGAACGAATCTTCAAAAGAGCATCTTCCGTGAAAAGTGCTATTGGTTTTGTAAACTTCTTTGCTCTCAGTTCATCTGGACCGTCTCTGTCACCAGTATATTGTATTTGTACAGTACCAACAGTTGAAATACCACCATAAAGTCTTCTGAGTCAGCAAATGGAATGCCAAGCCAAAAGTTTGAACGGTCTCCATTTGTATATTGAGTTTTTTGACCTCCTGTATGAGTCCATACTTTCACATATGGCATAATAGAACTTTGCATTTCAGGGTTAATGGTTGTTGTGAAGTTGTTGTTAAAGTTCATAGCATCTAATGTCAAGTTGTATGACCTCATATCCTCAACTGTAGAATATTCTTCTCTTGGATAATATTTGCCATCTATGTTTATATGATATTTAATACCGGGGTTGTAGAAACAAGAATAGTCATTTATAGTTCGTCTGAACAGTACAAACATAGTATCTGCATGTTTCATTGCAGTTGTTAAAGCAATATCTGTTCTTGCACCTGGGTCAGCACTTTGGTTTCCAACTTCACTGCAAAGTCTTTGACAGATATTTGGTGTATAGGGAACATAAGTGGAACTGCAATATATTTGGCAGCTAAAGCATTTGAAATATCTGGGTCCAACATATAGACTGCAAGTCTGCTTTCTATTCTCTTGCATTCAAATTTTTCGCATGTGAACTTAACTGGGTCCCAAGCAGTTCCAGCAGCATTGAAGTAGTAGTTTACTTCAGTGTTGAGGTTTGAGAAACCAAAGTCTAAGTCAACTTTGTCTTTGCAAAAGTCGGCGAATGACATTTTATTTGTTCCCACTACTTCTGTAAGAGTGAATGGGTCTTGTGTTGGTGCAATGACTAAGTTATTTTTGCTTGGAGTAAGTTCAATAGAAATTTTTCCTGCCCAGTTTGGCAAGTATCTTAAAAACCTGAAGATGAGGAAAGATGACAAAGGAACTCTAAGTTTCAATTTTACTTTGGTTACTGCATTTCCATCTGAACCAGAAAGGTTAACATAAACTCCTGGAACGTTAGGGTCAAGTCTTCTTATTTTCTCAATAGTTGCATACTGGTCTGTTTGTTCTCTAGCTTGTGGTTGTACTGAGTTTCTCAAAGCGAACCATTCATAGTTTGCCCATGTTACTGTTTGAACTAAGTCAGAGTTAGAATATATCTTATATCCCATGAAAACTTCTGGAGCATATTGGTATCCGACATAGAAAATTCCATTGCAACCTTTCTTGTCAGACAACTTGGCAGAAGGTTTTATTTCAATGTCTTGTTCCACGTATAAGAAAGAGTTGTCATAGAAATTATATGAAACCTGTCGCAAGCATATCTACTGTTGTTGAAGAACCTTCTCCAAACTCACCTACGTTTCCATAAGAAACAGCAGTTGTATATTCGTAAGTTCCAGGAACTATTTCTGACCTTCTAATGGCATTGTCGCATTCGTTATACCATTCGGAAACATTTCCATTCATGGCATCCAAAACTGTTGGCGTTATATTCTGAGCGGCGTACATTTCATATGGGTAAAAATATAGAATAGTTGGATTTATATGTCATAATAGAACCCACGTGGACCAAGCTTTACTTTCTTCCTGACTGAGTTTTTAACTCTTCTTTTTCCTTCATTGCCACTACTTTCACTAGATGAAGTTACTTCTTCACTACTTTCACTTTGTTCTACTCTTCTTCTTTGGTGTCGCTTTGGTAACTTGCCCTCTGCTTCAAGTTGTTGCATCTTTGCCTCATGTTCACCTAGTATGTTGTAAATTTCCCATGTCCTTTTTGCCTTTGGGCTCTGGTCGCCCATCTCAGGTACCCTATATCCTAGAAAGAGTTTGTCATAGTTTGTATTTGAGTCTTCACGTATTGTTTGCATGACTCTTTCCTGAGTTTCCGGTTCAAGCTCTTCAAACAGAGCTTGTCCATATGGAATATGCTCGTTTCCAAATATATGTTTTTGTAGCCATTCTGGTTTTCTTTCCATGTTACCAACTATATCTTTTGTGAATGGGAAAGCTTTTACCCAATCTTTCAGTCTTGCGTCGTTTATTTCTGTAGTTGGTTTTATTTTGTCAAGGAACATGTTTTTCAATACTAACATTTCATTTGGTACTGTCCATTTGAGTTTACTTAAATATTCATCCCTTCTCGGTTCATTGTCTGCAAAGTAAGTTTTTATGACATTTTGTAAACTTTCATTTGCAAGGTCATGTACAATAGGTTCTCTTCCTTCTCTCTCCCTAACTGTCTTTCTAAACTCTTCACCAAATATACATCTCTATGGTTCTGTGTAGTTCTTTGAGATAAATGTTTTAGAACGTCAGGTGTTATATTTCCATCAGCCATGTTCATTTCATACTGGTCCAAAATATCTGCATGTTTCATATCTTTCAATGGCATTAAAGCCGCGCTTAAAATACCAGCTATATCTGGTTCACCATTCAATTCCATTGCGTCTACAACTTCTTGGAATTGTGGTTGTAAGTTTATGAACCACCTATCCGGGTTAGCTTTATGACCCATCTCATTGTAGTTCCATCGTCTGCAGAAACAAAAGTAGGTTTGTTTCCATCTTGGTTAGGTTCTGATGAACTTTAAACAATGTTTCATTTCTATATGTTTTCTTGAAATTTAACCTTTTATTTTCACCGAGTTCATCCGAAGATTGAACGTTAAATGCTCGTAAGTAAAAAGGGTTGTTGTATTTGTGTACATTTTCTTTCAGTACTTCCATTCTATGCTGAATATTTTCATCTGGTGTTGGAGTCTTTTGTATGTCGGCAAACATTTTTCGATATTCTTCTACTATGTCAGCCGAATTTTTTTTAGACTCCTGGAAATATTCCATATTCTCCGCATACTCTTGTTGAGGGTCAAGATTTTTCGGCTGTTCCAAATCTTCATCTAGTTCTGTGAAGTTAGTTTCCAAAGGAGGGACTTGTTCGTTTCCTTCAGGCTCTTCTAGCTGTTGTTGCTGAACTATTTCTCCATGTCTGGTTGTATCTGAACTAGTTCTTCCTGTGGAGTTTCTTGTACCTCATCTGCTGGCATTTCATATATTCCGAGACGTTTTTAACAACTTCCCTTTCTAAGTCATCCGGACTCATAAACCTTTCTTCTTTCGTTCCGTCTCTATTTTTTACGCGTTTCATGACGGGAGTTGAATTGTCATTTAGCTCTGACATCAAATATCTCGGAGTAAATTCATCCATGTCATTTGGATGATATGCTATTAAATCATATCCCTTAGCGAGCTTGTATTTTCCAGGTTTGAAATTATATCCGATTTTATGCTGAACCATAAAGCTAAATAGGTTCGGGTCAGTATTTCCATCCTTGAACTTTCTAATAGCTTCTTTATATCTGTCACTAAAGTCAATACTATCTGGGTAACCATAGTCTTCCTTAAGCCTTTTTAAGAATTCTTGGTTTCCTTGTTCTCTACTTCTTTTATGTCCTTGCTCTGTTTGTGGTTGTTGTTGTTGTTGTGCAGGGTTTTGAACTGTTGGTTGTGGTGCTGGTTGTGGAGGTGGTTGTTGTGTTGGTTGTTGTGTTGGTTGTTGTGTTGGTTTTGGTGCATGCCTATGTCTGTGTCCATGTGACGATGTAAATGTTTTAGGTAGTCCTGGTGCAGGTGCTTCTCTTGGAGGGTTTGGTGGTATATAAATTCCAACAGCTGGTATATAAGTTCCACCAGCTGGCACATATGTTCCATCTGCAGCGTAATGTCCTACCTGACTTTTCGTTCTTAAGAAAGCATTTACTAGGTCTGTTTTGGTCTGTTGTAACTCTTTTTCTTGACTTTCCACAACAGTTGCTCTAACGGCGTCATAGGCACTTTGAACTACCTGTCTCGTTGCTGCATCTGTTATTTTCGTCATATTTTGTGCTACTTCTTTTAACTCTTTGTCGAAACCTTCAGACTTCAGTTTCTTTCCAGATGAGAAGTCGTTCACTTGTTTCACCTTACTATGAAGAGCTTCGAAGGCGTTCTTAAAGTCAGCATTTGTTAAAGCTTCATTTGAACTGTCTTCATCCGCTTGTATTTTTGTCCTTATTGACCCTATGAGTTGGGCTGCTTTGGCGTTGGCTTGGGCATCTAACCAGTCATTGTTAGCTTTTATATATTCTGCGCTTTTCATTGCCTTTTGCATGGCTGCGTCGTTATTTTTACTTTCTTGTGCTAAGTTTTCATACTGTACGGTTTGGTTTTGCAACTGTAAAAGTTTTTCTGCCTTTACATTTGCTTCAACTTCTTTTTTATACTCATCGCTATCCATATATGTCTTCAGGGCTTTTTGTTTTATCTCTTCATCTTTCAGTACTTTATATCGAGTAGTATGGTTTTTCAAATTTATGACATCTTGTTCCATTTTTGCTACTTCTGCTGCTTTTTCTGACACTTTTTTCGCATATTCCTCTGTACTTAGTTCTTTCAGTTGTTCTTCTTTCTTCTTTTTCTCTACGTTTAACTCATTGAGTTTCTTTGTGTGTCTGTCATATTCTAGTTTCTTTTCGTTTTCACTTATTTGCTTCTGTATGTCTATGTTTGACTTTTTGACATCTGTTATTTGATTTTTGAGTGAACTCAAATTCATTTGACTTTGAGGGTTATAGGCTGTTCCGTCTGCAGCTCCACCATAGCCTGCCATTTTCGCTAAAAGTGCCGCTCTTAAACCTCCACTCTGTGCACCAACAACTCGGTTTAAAAGCATAGGATTGCTTGACATTTGTTGCAACATAGTGGGGTCATTCAGCATTTGTTGTTGCAACTGTTGTTGTGGTGTTAGTTTTACTATTGGATGTTTCAATGCTCTCTTCCTCTTACGTATATTCTTACGTAGCTTACGTGGCATTTTAAGTGAAGTTAAAAAGCGGCTTTTGACAGATGTTTATATGAGACTTTCTCCGGTTTATAGGACCTCTCTCATATTCTATCTTGTTAAGACTTCCTGGACTGTTGTCAAAATGTCATGTTGTCTCATTTTTTCAGAGAAGTTGGTTTAACCGAGGGACCTGGTGTTATACTAAACATCTTCAGGGGGCTAGAGGGGCGCAGCCCTGGAAGCCCCAGTACCTTTTTTTTTTTTTTTTTTTTTTTTTTGCAATTTCGCTAAAAAAACATTTAGCTAGCAATTTCGACCTTTGACTCCACTCAAGACGTCACTTTTTTAATTTTGCGGTATCATATTTTTGGAAAATCTTTATGAATATTATATAAAAAGTCTCTTTAATATCTATATTTCATATTTTTATCGATTTTTAAAGTTTTTGCGAAAAGTATTCAATTATTTTTGCTATTTGGTCGGGTAAATGTCAGATTTGCGACATTTTCTGATATGATATTCAGATTCTACGTTGATAATAATGCTTATAGAACCCTCTTGCTATTGTGTCAAAATTGCGAAACCGATAGCAAAAATATCTCGCAATATCAAAATTGAGATATTGAGTGAGTTATGCATTATAGAGATTAAAAATCTGATTTGTGAAAACATCTCATCAGTTTCTAGCTAATTCAAAAATCTTTACTATCTTATTCGATTAAAATGAAAAGGGAATAGTTTCATTATGCTTTAAATGACAGCCTTATAATATAATCATAGTTTTCGCTCAATATGCAGCATTTTTTTTTCGAAATCTATGGTCAATGTCCTAAATACTGATTGCTTTGCATTCATATCTCTTACATTTTCTATACCCACATCACTATTCATTGCTATTCCTATCTTTTTCATTTTTGTTTGTTTCTCATAATTTCTCAAAAAACATGATAACTTGATATTTGTAAATATCATACTTTATAACGTAAATAAGAACTTGACCTATTAAGAAAAGCAGTAATGAAAAGAAAATCTGAAATTCATAAAAATTACAAGTTTCTGATGACAATTAGCTTAATTAAACCAGGTACAAGATTATATAATTGTATTTTCTATCCAATTATCCATATAATATCTTATCCAGAAAAAATAACTTGATCAATACCAAATGATTTTTTAACTAGTAAATAAAGTATTTTCTTTACACACACATTGGATATCATAGTTTTTTTTTTGGTTTCGCAAAACATCCAAAAACAAATATGCTATAAAAGTGACAATTTTAGCAAAACGAAACCCTTACTGGCAATACTACTATTCCCGCATGTTTTCTACATGTGAGCCAATATGGAGTAAATAAATTCTGTGTACTAAGAAGTTTTCAATTATATTTTCAAGAATTAATTTTCTGTTTCACAAAAATTCAATTTTTCTTTTTAATATTACTATCATTCAGTCATACAGGTAAATTTATTTTACAGGCCAAACGGGTTTTAATTGAAAATGTTATTTTTATCTTTTCTGAATTGATAAAAATTTCGTTGGGAACTGTAAAAGTTTTTTATCGGGAAAATTAAATTTTTATCTACGTGATACCAGTTCCTAACATTTTATTAGGATATAATTGTTATCAATATTATTTCAGAATAATTTTTCCCTCAATTACAAAAACATCAGCTCAAATACGTGGGTTCTGTTAGTTAAATTCAATTATAGTAATTTTGTTTTTGAAGTATTATTTGAAATTCCAAATCACCATCAAAGGCATTCGAAGGGTTAACTCATGTAAGTTTTTCATTTATACATATGAAACAAATTAAATGGTCGAATATTTTCTCTGGCATGAGCCAATTTTTTGGCTATTAACAAATTTACTAAATATTATTAACCAAAAGTGATTCCATGCTGTAAAAACAACAATAATAAGAACAAGAAGCTCTCTTTGAACTAACCCAATTTACAGCCCAGAAAAAAAAATATTCGAATAATGTTTCTTGAAACAGTGTTCCAATTTCAATAGAATATAAACACTGGCAAACAAAAATAGATACTTTACACAATCTATAAAGTGTAACTGAAGTTAAATGATTATAAGTTGTAAACTCGATTCAAAAAAACATGTATGAGCATTGTATCATATGCCATTCTATTTAGAAATCCTATGAACAGCTACTATGATATGAATTATTCTCAAATATTGAAATCTTTTGATATTTTGATTCGGCCTAACTCTTTTATGAAAAATTCCAAGACTTAGTAACATTTATATAAATAGTTATTGCTTTTGACATGCTTTCTGCTCATTTTAAGTGCAAATATAGAGTACTTTGTTCTCTTCATACACGACTTTAGATAATCAAAGGAGATCACGTTATAAATGCCTATTATGTATACATGTAGACCAATATCAGTTATTATTGTATCACAGTTTACAATTTTGGAAAATGAATGTAATTCCAATTCTCAAAGGTGACAATTTTCAGCATTATTAAATCTTTGATTATATCATAGAAACCAAATTCAGACAATCTATTAACATGAAACACATAATCTTTAATCTCTATCAACTCTCATTTTAAAAAATCCATTCAAGGTCATTAATTACTTCAAAAATTTAAATGAATACACAATAAATGAATTTTAAAGGTTTTTAAACAATTAATAAAAATGAAATTTTTAATAAAAGATAGAAAATGACCAAATTTCAATAAACAAGGAAATCAAGGGATAGATAATTAAAACACATGTAGTAGAATTTCGAATTATTTATTCGTAATAAAGAAACAAAACAATTCAATATAAAACAAGATAATTAACATTATTTCCATTTCAGTTCATCATTTTATGTAAGTGATGTCTCTTGTTGAAGGCTCTAAGCAAGAAGAAAAACTCACTATTGCGATGCTGCTTCGATGTCTTTGCCTTTGGAAGCAAAGCAGAGTCCAAGCTATTAATATCTGTTCCAATTCTTCTGAGATTGGTCTTTTGCATACCAACTTTTTGTGACATCTTTTTCAAAAATGAGGTAAACCTGAGGACGATAATTGAGAAGCTATTTTGAGAATGACGACGATTATTGAATGAATTTTGGGAGTTAGTATTCAAATTTGCGAGTAAAATTTATGACATAATTTAGGGAAAATTGCATTATTCAAATATATTGCAGTAATGTTTCTAACTTTAGCCGGAGGTTTGCCGATGGCAAAATTTATTATATGTAAAGACGATTAAATATTTTCTGTATTAGTATATTGCATGTATCAACAACACAAAAATAGATTAATATTAATATCTATTCAATTTTTTCTTTGAGGCGATCACCATCATTGATAGAGAAATTTTGCAAATTACCTCAGACTTTTCAGAGGATTGAGTGGCAACTCAATCCTCTGAAATAGTCTGTGGTAATTTTTAGTCTCTACACTATTTCAATATAAGCTCCATTTTTAAACAGTTTTTAAAAATCGAGCATTGAAAAGTGTGATGAGACTTATAATTTATTCTAAAATACCAAACTACAATTATCTTTTGATTTTCAGATCGTCTCGGAAATTTTGGATTACAAATGAAAATTATTAAAGAGAAATAATTTTTTAAACAGAGGTATATTTGTGTTCCAAGAATATAGTAAAATAATTTCATAACTCCGATCATAGATTAATTGTTGTAAAAATTTAATAAGAGAATATAACCATTCTTAAGATATTATTCATAAAATTATTTAGAGCGAGCTAATGAACAATAGATGTATATATTATTCGATTTTTATCTGAAGTAGTATATGAGTGCGGGGTTAGTGACTTTTTTTGTTACATCTATATATAGACGATGCATTAAAATATAATTTATAAAAATTAACATTAATTTTAAAATAATTTATTTTTTTATCTTTTATAAAAGAAGCTATATATAGATGATGTCAGATATTCCGCGATTAATTAAACATTGTTTAAATCCTGAATGGGTTAAACTTCAATTTAAAAATGAAGATTGTGAATTATTAAATGAATATGAAAGCCAAAATAAGCTAATGAGGTATAAATATAATGATAAAGAATATTTAATTTCATGGAATCAATGGAGTCATAATCAAAGACCTCATAAACGAGAAGAAGAAATTGAAAATAATGAAATGGAAATCATTGATGACATTAAAGAGGATGGAATTCCTAAATTTTGTAGAAAAACCTTTAGAACTAAGTTAGGAGCATATAAACGTAGAGTATTAAATCCTGAATATCTTAAACATCAATTTAAAAAGGAAGACTGCGAATTATTAAACGCTAATGAATATGAAAATGCTAAATCAAAACTGAGATATAAATATATTG